AGTGAGGCCTAGTTATGCACATGACACTGCCTGAGTGAGGCCTAGCTAATCGTGCACCTGGCGTAGCCTGAGAGAAGCCTACTTAAGCATGCACAAGGCGCAGCCGGAGTGAGGCCTAGTTAACAGTGCACCTGCCGCCGCCTGAGTGAGGACTAGTAAATCGTGCACCTGGCGCAGCCTGAGTGAGGCCTAGTTAATCGCGCCCATGGCGCAGCCTGAGTGAGGCCTAGTTGATAGTGCGACGGACCACAAGCTGTGTTCCTGCCAAGGCAACATTGCCACGGACCCCAAGCTGTGTTCCTGCCAAGGCAACATTGCCATGGACTCCAAGCTGTGTTCCTGCTAAGGCAACATTGCTGTGGACCCCAACCTGTGTTCCTGCCAAGGCAACATTGCCACGGACCCCAAGCTGTGTTCCTGCCAAGGCAACATTGCCACAGACCCCAAGCTGTGTTCCTGCCAAGGCAACATTGCCACGGACTCCAAGCTGTGTTCCTGCCAAGGCAACATTGCCACGAACTCCAAACTGTGTTCCTGCCAAGGCAACATTGCCACGGACCCCAAGCTGTGTTCCTGCCAAGGCAACATTGCCACAGACCCCAAGCTGTGTTACTGCTAAGGCAACATTGCGACGGACCCCAAGCTGTGTTCCTGCCAAGACAACATTGCCACGGATCCCAAGCTGTGTTTCTGCCAAGGCAGCGTTGCCACGGACTCCAAGCTGTGTTCCTGCCAAGGCAACATTGCGACGGACCCCAAGCTGTGTTCCTGCCAAGGCAACATTACCACGGATCCCAAGCTGTGTTCCTGCAAAGGCAACATTGCCACGGACCCCAAGCTGTGTTCCTGCCAAGGCAACATTGACACGGACCCCAAGCTGTGTTCCTGCCAAGGCAACATTGCCACGGACCCCAAGCTGTGTTCCTGCCAAGGCGCTCCATCCTGGAAAACTTCACGGAGATCGTCAAGATGGCCAAGGGTCGTGAATGAAGAGTCCCCTGTGTGGGCTTCAGTGGGGCCGTCTGGTCGGGCAGCAGAGACACAAGAGGCCAAGAAACGACATTCCAGTCGTGGGCCGAGCTCAAGAAGGCCTAGCTCGAGCACCATCCTGCGGCGGGGAAAGGAGGCGGTGCAAGCGGTGCAGCCGAGCCCACAACAGCTAAGAATCTGCTGTCCCTGTCGGGGGGGGGGGGTGCTGTTCAACCCTAGCACATGGGCGAGAAGCCGTGCATGTGTGACGAGTGCGGCAAGACATTTTTCTCATGCTCGGCCTACAAGTATATATATTTTCTCTTTTCCGCTTGTGTGTTAATCTGTGTTTACTCCGGATATTTTAGAGATGGCAATTCTCCTGCTGTGTATCCTACTGCTGTCCTTCCCGACCATATCTAGTGCCACATTCAACTCTACAAACGGCTACCCTCGTTACTTTGCGTCCATACTTGTTGCTCGATTTGCCACTACACCTGCAAATGAAACAGCTTATAGACACTTCTACACTCCATCACTGTATCCTTTTAAACCCTATTTTTGTCCCATTACTTCACCAGCACTCCTTCCAAACTTCATTGTGCTCTTAAAAATAACACCATCTGCGAGCTACTGCTATTAGTCCAAGGTTTGCCGCTCTTCATCCCTTCACAGAAAATACTTGTGCAAACTATTAATTCTACTTTGCTGTTTCTCTTTTTCTGTTCCCAACCCCCCTCCTCCGCTCCGGAGGTGGGGCTGGTAACATGCTAATTCATATGTTAACTCTGCCCACACAGCTTAAAAGACGCGGTCCTTGCTTGACAGTTTTCATTCAAGCTCTGTCTTCTGGACAGACCTGTTTCTTCACCTGAAGAAGGCCACTTGTGTTGTGGCCGAAACGTCGTGAGAATTTTATTTTATTGTTTTATTTGTATTATTTTATTTCCATTCTACGTGACTTTACCGAAAGAACCAAGAAGATCTACTTTTCTTATTTCTGGGTGGAATTGAGCTTCATCCTGGCCCAAATGTAAAGAACTCGTATAATTCTGTAGATTTTTCTGGCAGGAAAGGTGTTGGTGTTCTAAATGTCAACATCAGAGGGCTTGTGATTAAATTAAGTCAACTAAAACTAGAAGTGGCAAATCTTGACCCGGACATTTTTTGCCTAACAGAAACATTTCTCACTCCTGCCGTCAATGACTTGCAGATTACGATTGACAACTACCACCTTTTTCGGCTTGACCGAGGATCTAAAGGAGGTGGAATTGCCATCTATGTTCGTAATACTATTGCATATTCACCAGCTCACTCCTTGTTTAAAAAATGTTGCTTTGAAGGTCTGGCTCTCAGAACAACTCTCCCAAATAATCAACAGATATTGGTAGTGTGCTGCTATAGACCGCCTAGTGGGAAGGATGTTGAAGCTGGATCTGCACTGAGAGAGCTTCTTGGGGGCCTCCCTAAAGGTGAAACAGTTTTAGTGGGTGATCTAAATTGGAATTGGCTAAACCCACCGGCCATGGCCACAAATTTTGCAGATGAATTTAACCTGTTTCAATTAATAAATGTCCCCACGAGACCCAATCTAAAAAATCCGGGACAGTCATCTCTGCTTGACGTCCTATTGACAAATGCCCCTCACAATTTCGCACTGGTGTTCTGGGTAATAACCTTAGTGATCACTCCTTCATTTTTGGGGTAAGATCATCAGCCAGACCCAAAGCCCCCCTAAATTGGTTGAGAAGCACTCTGAGACACTTCAGCACTCAGACATTTACTAATGATGTGCTTCACTCGGATATTGATAAGGTCTGTGATATCCCCAACCTGACTATGGCTTGGGAGACCTTCAGGTACACATTTCTCCAAATTGTTAACAAACATGCTCCGTTGGTTAGATTTAAAACTAAAGGCAACCGCCCACCATGGTTTGATCCTTTGATTACATAGCTCATGAAAACTAGGGACAAGGCTTGGGCATGTGCTCAGAAAAGTAATTTGGTCAATCACTGGCTAGAATACAGGATTTTAAGGAATACATGCGTCAAAAAATACGGCATGCAAAAAATTCCTACTTTTCCTCCACTCTCCTGGAATCACATGGAAATGCCAGGATTTTCTGGAAAACAATCAAGTGTATTGAAAAGGCATCCAAAACAGACAATCTGCCCATTGAGCTTAACCGAAATGGGGAATATTTTTCATATCTCAAATAAATAGTTGACAATTTAAACCTTCATTTTTCTGAAGATGGTAATCTTTTTGATAATGTATTGGTAGTCACCTCTGCTCATGCAAATTCCTACACCCTTGTCCAAACATTAAACGAATGTAGTTTCCAGCCAATCCACGAAAGTAATGTGAAACAACTGTCCTACCTCAAAGGGTCCTCCTCTCCCGGAGCAGATAGTATTCCCGTCGTTGCTCCACTAACTATTGGTCACCTAATATACAAACCTATAGCTCATATTTTCAACCTGTCCATCAAAGAAGCATCAGTTCCTCTAGAATGGAAACATACCTATGTCCGTCCACTTCACAAAGGGGGCCCTAAAGATGATCGAAATAACTAGTGACCTATCTCAATTTTGTCCCCGTTGATGAAAATTTTTGAAAAATTATTGAACTACCAAATTAGCAGTTTCCTGTCCACCAAAAATCTACTACATCTAAAACAATCTGGGTGCTGAAAAAAATACAGCACCACATCTACTGCATTAAGACTCTCTGAATCACATTTACAGTAGCCTTGATAATAAGCAGTACTGTGCCTGTCTTTTTCTTGACCTGTCCAAAGCTTTTGATACAGTAGACCACAACACCCTGCTTAAGTTGCCTCGGTTTTTCTGAAAACGCAGTAAAATGGTTACAAAATTACCTCTTTTTTCGCACCCAAACTGTATTCACAGATGGTTGGATGTCAAACAGTGTTAAGATAACAAAAGGGGTTCCACAGGGTTCCATCCTCGGCCCCTTTTTGTTCTCTCTTTATGTCAATGACTTGGGCACTGACCTGGATCATTCCAGGGTAAATCTTTTTGCAGATGACACGATACTGATTACTGCTGGCTGCTCTCCGGATGACGTGATTGCTAAGCTCCAGGGTGATTTCAACAAACTACATCAGCTAGTTGCTCTTAAACTAGTCCTGAATACCTCCAAAACCAAGGTGCTATGCTTCTCACCAGGACTAAAGCAGGAAGTTATTTTTCTCCAATTACATTCCTTAAATAATTATCAATTAGAGCAAGTCAAGATCTATAAGTATCTTGGGGTTATCCTGGATTCAAAACTGTATTTTGAAGATCACATTGATAAAATTGGTACAAAGACAAAAATAAAAATTGGTTTTCTGTATCGACACAAGCACTGCCTCCCCCCTATATTCCGTTTGGAATTGATAAAAGCTACCATACTGCCTCTACTTGATTACTGTGACATCGTGTATAAATCAGCCCCAAGTACTGTACTGAAGAAGCTTGATTCCATCTATCACTCGGCCTTAAGATTTACATTGAACTGCCCATATAGGACTCACCAACGTGATCTCTACATTGGGTCAAACTTAACATCTCTTAATGTTCGACGGCTTGTGCACCAGATCTTATTTATTCACGATGTACTTATAAAAAATCCGCAGACTACCTGCTGGATCTCCTCTCTGTTTCAAAGAACAAATTTAACATCAGGTCTTCGCTCATTTACCAGCTTCACATTCCCTATTGCCGTACAAAAACTGGAAGGGCCTTTGCTATTGATGCCCCCAGGGTCTGGAATGCTTTCTTATATATAAAAGTCTCCGCGCGCGCGCTTGCGAGGGATTTGTCTCTCGGACGGTGGGCTTGACGTCCAAAAAAATTTGCCAGGCAGCACGCCCTAAGTCCCGGGGTGGGAATAGGCTATTCCGTTTTCGCATCCCTCAACTTTAAAGTAGTTTAATTAACAAATTTGTGACATTCTTATTTTAATTATTTACTTATTGCGTCACATCGACCGTACCAACTGTCGACAATTGTGTGGGGGGGGGCGGACCCTGCCAAGTGATGCGCATTTAGTCGAGCTCACGGGGGACATTTCATTTTACGCGTTTAACATGCAATAAATATACACGTCACGCTGCGGATTTTTCTTCACAGTCTCATGTCCTCTTCGCCCCCCCCCCCAAAAAAAACACGTCCAGTTTCTACAACAGAGTCCGTAGATAATAATATAGTGCTTAAATACCATTATTATTGCACGGCCGGGGGGATGGCTGTGGGGGTAGTGGCCCAGCCTGCCAACGCGCTACCTCCCCCGCCTCGGCAATGTAGGCCAGGACGGGGGCTCCGCACCGGCCTAGGCCTGACCAAGCCTATGGTAAGTATAAATTTTCTTGCTTCTTACGCTACGAAATCAGGTTCATTGTTTACTATTATTAAACAAATACGTTCCCAGATATTACAATAATAATTTTTGTGTGCACATAGTAACTCTGGTTCATTGCGTACTATTATGAAACTTATAAGTTGCCACATATTACAATAATTATGTTTGTGTGCAGATAAGAACTCGGGTTCATTGTTTACTATTATGAAACAAATACGTTGCCAGATATTACAATGATGTTTGTGTGCACAAAAGAAAATTTTCATTATTAGCTTGATAAATATTCCCTTTTTAGCTGTGCATTTATCACGCTGCGACAGTGTATTGCCAGTCTGTCTTGTGCTCTGCTGCCTGCTAATTAACGTCAGTGCACTGCCACTCTATTATCTACACTGCTAATTTTCCTTTTGACCATTATGAGTGTATGCCAGTCTATAATCTGTTGCCTGCTTCTTTACCTCACTCAGTGTACTCCCAGCCTTTCATGTCCACTGTATTCTGCTTTTTCAGCTGCTGCCTGTATTGGCAGCTTTTCATGTCAACTGTAGCAATGCTTGTCATTGAGTCGGCGTACTGGCAGTCTATAATCTAGACTGTAGCCTGCTTCTCAACTTACCTGTGCGTACTGCTGCTCTTTAATTTACACTGCTTTCTGCTTATTTCTTCAATGCATTTCCATTGTTTCCATTGCTCATGTCACGCCATTTACTCACACGGAGTACTGCGATACTGAGAGCTGTGCCATCATCGGGGATTTCTGTGCACGTCGATGTGTGTGTGTGTGAGTCGATGTGTGTGAGTCCATATCTGTGCGCGTGTAGGTCCATGCGTGTGTTTAAGTCCATGTGTGTGTCTGTCTTTTACGATTGGACAACGCCCGATGTGTGTGTGTGTACGTCCAAGTGTTTGTGTGTCAGTCCAAGTGTGCGTGTCCGTCCATTTGTGTGTATCAGTCGCTGTGTGTGTTAGTCCATGTGTGTGTGTCAGTCCATATGTGTGTTTGTTAGTCCACGTGTAAGTCCATACATGTGTGTGTGCCACTCGATGTGTGTAAGTCAATGCGTGTGTGTGAGTCAATATGTGTGTGTTAATCCATGTGTGTGTATCTAAAGAACATGTCTGTGTGTGTAGGGCAATGTGTGTGTTAGTCTATGTATGTGTAAGTCCATGTGTGTGTGTGTCTTCGTCGATATGTGTGTGTAAGTACATGTGTGTTTTACGTCAATCTGTCTGAGTCCACGTATGTCTGTGTGTGTGTCGCTGTATGTGTCTACGTCCATATATGTGTGTGTAACTCCATGTGTATCTAAAGTGGATGTCTATGCGTGTGTGAGTCCATATGTGTGTGTGTGTGCAAGTCGATGTGTTTGTGTGTGCGAGTCGATATGTCTGTGTGTCAGTCCATGGGTGTGTGTGTTAGTCGCTTTGTGTCCGTGGCTCCATGTGAGTCCGTGTAAGTCTATTTCTTTGCGTGTGATCAACCATGTAATGTGATCAACCATGTAATGTATGCCGATGCTCTGGTGAATCCTGCTCACTCAGAGGAGAACTTGGAGGCACTGCTGCTGAACCTGGAGCTTGGCACTAAGAGGTGGGGCCTTACCATCAGCCCCATCAAATCTAAGCACCTGGCTGGGTATTTTACCATCGGACAATCCACCCCCAAAACTCACAATTTCTGATGCGCCAGTTGTGGAGAGATTGGAGAGATTCCCATACCTGGCCAGTGTGCTCATGACCAGCTCCGGTTTAACACCAGAGGTCTCACTCCAAATTAGTTGAGCGCCATTATCTTTTCATCGGCTGCGTTACGCTGTGTGGAAGCTACCTGGTCTCTCGCTCCACATGAAGCTCCAGGTCTTCTCGGCCACGGTAATCCCCTACCTTCTGTACGCTTGCGAAACGTGCACCCACCTAATAGAACATCTTCGCCAGTTGGAAACATTTAGGCTGGCCTGCTAACGATCCACCCTGGGTTTAACCATGTGTGTGTGTGTACGTCTAAGTCGATGTGTTTCTACGTGTGTGGGTCCATGTCTGTGTGTAAGTCCATGTGTGTCTCTGCCTTTTTCGCCTGGGCAACGCCGGGTACTTCCTGCTAGTTGCCAATAAACTGCAACTTGAATCGCTACCAATGAGATCTTCTCTCAAAACTGCTCTAGAGGAGTTGTACACCCCTAGCTGCCACTGATATTCATTGGCATAAAATAAAATGTTTCGCTCCGGATGATGCTGCAAAGTATTATCTGTATTTTGATTTAGCGTGCTGATCTTACAGGTGCATTGAAAAATTTGATACTCCGACTGATGCTTCTGTTGTTGTGGAGTAACTTATGCAGCCAGCTATGGCTCTAGGGTTTGGTGTTACATGTTATTTATGTAGTTTATTGTAAAAAATTCGGTCACAGTCCTTATGATCACTGTTACATTGCAATTATGGCTATATTTTTTGGTGATTTCGAAAACGTTTTTGTTAGACTGATGGCCTTAATCTAAGTTTTCTTGTGGTTGTTGTTGTTTGACTTGCATCCCACTGGGATTTTTGCACACAGCATTGGTGTACGGTGCTTATTCAGGAATATTTTGCTGTTTTTTTCATGGATTTTCTGTTTGCACAGTCACATAGTCACTTTAAGATGTTTTCTTGTTCGTGTTTTTGTTTGTTGTGGTTGCACCCGATTCAAGAGCCGAATGGCTCACAGGGCTATACAAAATAAATAAATAAATAAATTGGAAAACCCTTTACCCCCCCCATCCGTCTGCCATTGGTGTGTGCCATCGGAGCACCTGGACAGACACGAGGGCCTGCTGCAGGCTGGCACAATGTGCCCGCCACATCTCTTCTTCCTCTGCTGCGCCACCCCGCGCAGCCTCGAGCTCTGCCACTCGCGCCACGATCCGACCAAGCTGCTGCTCCACCTGACAGACACACGACACAGTGCCTCTGTGTCAATCCACTGCTGGAAGGCCTCACATGTCATGTTGGTAATGGAAACGGTTTGACCGTGCTTCACCACACTGGTTTGGCTTGAAGGGGATGAGGCCCAAGATCGGTTCAGATTTCACTCATCACCGATGTCAGTTGTGACTGGGAATCGAAGTCAAGTTGCCAAGTTCGTAGCGCAGTCGCTCTCCGCTGCACTATGACTCCCGTTTATACTATATGTGTATCCTCAAATATTCAAATAGACTATTAAGGTTGCTCGAAACATACTGAACTGTCATTTAGATTCATAAAGTATGATTTTGTGAAAGCCTGTGTTGTCTGAATATCCATAATACAGGTTTTTTGGGTTACATTGCCTAAATGTCGTTAAAACCCGCCACTACCCGACACAGCCAACTCGTAAGGGTTGTCACGTAAACAGAACATACCAATTCATCACTAGTACAGCACACCAAGCCACAACATTTACAATCTGAGTACGACGTTTCACCAGGAATTACAACTAGCTTCATCAGGCGACAGCCAAATTTGTGAAGTCTGTTTCATTCCTTATATAGCGGTGTAGATGTGGTGACCACACTTCTGCGCTCTTGCGTAAAGTGGGGGTGATTACTGAGTCAACGTACATTATGCATGTGCATTATGCGAGCCCTTTGATCTTGTCCTTCCTGTCTATTGTTTTTTATTAAAATAGCCCTACCAATGTTAATCCCTATTGAAGTATGCTGCCCTTTATAGGCATGCTTTTAAATAATGTATTACAGTATTTGGTTATTCGTTTCCATGCATCACTAAGGTGGTAGGTATCTGAACAGTTAAAATATTTTTTTATTTCTTTCAATTTTGATAGATTCTCTCATTAGTCTTGGCCAGTAGTAGCTAATTTTGCACAGAACTTCAACATTATCAAAATCAATTGAGTGTCCTTGTTGGCACGCGTGTTCTGCTACTGCTGACAGTTATATTTGGGAGAATTTAATATTTCTCTGATGTTCGTTTAGTCTCGTGCTGATCATTCGTCCTGTTTGCCCAACAACCTTTACCACACGTGCAGTTGATCCTGTACACACCTTCTGTTGATAGCTTCGGTAATACATCTTTTGTACCAGATATTAATTTCTGTATTTTATGTACCATGCCAAATCTGACTAGGATGTTTTGTTTTTCCAAACATCTGGGTAGTTTATCAGTTACTCCCGCAATGCACGGTACTTGGGCAGTTTCAATGCTCGTGTTATTTGATTTTGTTTTGGCATTCAATGCCCTGATGATTTGTGCATCATTGTAACTGTTCATTTGCAGCACTTCTTTAACATGTTGAATTTCCCTTCTCAGACTGTTGACCCACACTTAATTATACAGAGGTATTAAGTTTATTTTATTTGTTACGCGGCTGATTTACAAGGGAGATTCGAGGTGCGTGACGACAGCAACAACAACACGAAGACAAAAACATCAATATTGCAGACAGCGAGGTCAGGGTCCTTAAGGAATATTGCACTACTAACAAACGAGGTATTTAAAGGTCGTAAATGAAACACATGCGAGTCATAACCAGTGCAAGCAAAATATAAAAAGGTTCGGTACAAGTCCATCCCAACACACAAATTGTGCATGTAAGCTTTGTGTTTTGGTTTAAAAAGGAAGTAAAGAGGGGGAGTGAAGGGATAGAACCATGACAATTCCTAGATATTTAATGTTGTCAACCTGTTCAATAGGGTGTGAGTCCAGAGCCACGATATGCTTAGGTGGCAAGACAGATTTGGGGCAGCCCGATAATTACATGAGCAAAGTCCTGTTGTGGATGTTATTGTAACTCCTCCATATAATTTCCATAATGCATTAGGGCTGTATCATCAGCCAAAAAGGTGAATGTCAAGAGTGCAGATTGTAGATTCCTACATTGCTGACATACATAGAAAACAGAATAGGGCCAAGCACCGAGTTCTGAAGTACCCTCTTCATAATGGAGGTCCTGTCAGAGGATATGGGCCGTGAATGAGTTAAATGGCTCACAAAGTGTGGATCCGCATTTCTATAAGAAAAGCAACCAAGTTGCAGTGTTTAACGTGGGATGCCGTGCAACATTTGAATAATGCAACAAAAGCTGCGTGCAGGAACAGTTTGATTTGCGTGCGTATTGGGCTGCAATGTGTGTTGGGCTGCGTACGTTTTGGGCTGTAATGTGTTGGGCCGCACGTGTGTTGGGCTGCGCACCCGTTGGGCTGTATGTGTGTTGGGCTGCAAGTGTGTTGGGCTGTAATGTGTGTTGGGCTACAATGTGTGTTGGCCTGCAATGTGTGTTGCACTGCAATGTGTGTTGGGCTGCGTACGCGTTCGGCTGTAATGTGTGTTGGGCTGAAATGTGTGTTGGGCTGCGTACGCGTTCGGCTGTAATGTGTGTTGGGCTGAAATGTGTGTTGGGCTGAAATGTGTGTTGAGCTGCAATGTGTGTAGGCCTGGGCACATGTTGTGCTGCAATGTGTGTTGGGCTGAGCAAGCGTTGGGCTGCGCTCATGTCACCTGGTTGATGGCCGGCTCAGGTGGGAGCTCTGTGTCCGAAGCCGAGGACAAAAGCCGCACGAGCAGCGCACGCAACTCGGCCAGCTGCAAAACATGGCAGCGCTCTCATGCAGTGCTGCGTTTGGCTCACCCCCTTGTAAGACACAACGAGTTTCAACATAAAAAGTAGAAAAAATAAATTGAAACCTTTCCCCAACAATATTTGAGCAACGTTTCGAATTCAACTAAATTATTTTTTTTTACAAATCAAAATGCAGCCTGTACCAAATAGTGGGACATGGCAAAAAGAAGCGTATGCTCTATATAGTAAAACCTTAATATTCGCGGGGGATACGTGGCGCGAATATTAAATCCGTAAATATTAATACTTACAGCTTATGAGTAAACTAGGGTTAGGGGACATAAACATATATTACGTTTAAACATATAAATCGTACATATATATTAATAAATACATATATTGTATAGTGTTGTGTTACTTAACTTACCTCTAATAATGATGACCATAAACATTTAAAAAGTGCAAATATCAACGAACAAATAAAGCAATGTCTACAGTGCCGTATGTAATTCCAAAAACGTGTAAAAGAAAGCACCCGCATGTAAACAGTGCAGCAGACAAAGGCCTGCTGAGAGGTAGAGTGGCGTCGCGAAGAGGGAAACCTTAATGCTCTCACGATCCGCGCCGTTCCCACGCCGCACAACTTCTTGCGAATATTTAAAATAAAAAAAACCCCGCGAAATCCAAAATTGCTCAATAAAATTGTCGTGGATATGCAAAAGCTGTGATTATATAGCCCTTCCATATCAAGGGGTTAATATTATAATAAAAAATTTCAACAGAAATTAGCCTGGCAGAGGAGAAGAGGAAGGTCTCTTGAGCCTGAGTTTGAACAGGGGCTGGGATTGGACTTGCAGATGGCCAGCCGGAGACAGTACACTGCTCTCTTCAGCTGAGCAACCTTGAGAGGTGAGCAAGTGAGCCTCAGTACTGGCACTAAGCTCCATGCTGTACCGTGTGCTGAGCTTCCTGGTGCCGGGTGGTAGCCAGTCGCTCTCTCCGCGAGGCCTCCTGCGCTTGCAATCCCAGCCTCTCTCCCTCCTGATGCACACGTTCAAGTGCCTGGTCACAAACAGATAAAGCACAAGGATTACCCTTGCTAGCCTGTCACCTGTCAGGGAGGGTACACATTGTCATACAGGGACTCCTCTACTTACGAACATTCGACTTACGACCTTTCAGAGATACGAACAAACCTGTGCTTATGTCCAGATGCCTGTTCGGATCGAGAGATTAAGTTCAACCGCCATGCAATAGATGGTCGGTAGTTGGCATGTGCATCTGCAGAACATAGAGAACTGTGGCATCTCCAGGAGATTATACAACTTTGAAAGCCATTCCCTGTGTTTAGTGTGCATGCCGTACAACATGTTTGGAATCGAGAGGAGTAAAGTTGGACTTACGAACAAATCGACTTACTAACAGACCTCTGAAACCTAACCCGTTCATAAGTAGAGGAGTCCCTGTATGCACAATCACAGTTCACGTAATGCAAAGCCAGGACGCGGTGCAGACGTCTCTTCAATGGAATCTACTGCGGAGACTGTGATTAAACCATTTTCCCATTTGTCACACATTTCACTTCCGATTCCTTAAGCATATATGAGAGCAAAGCTGATTTCCCCTTTCCACAAGGACAGTGGGCTCATGCATAAGCGCATTAGGAATACGAATTATGGTGGATCACACGAAATACACCATAGCCATCATTGATCATGCTGTGTATGGTGTAGCTTGTTTGATAACAGTTTAAATAAATGTGTGTAAATGCTTTAAAACTTTTTAGGAAACACAAACAATTTATAAAGAAAGCAAAATATAATAATTTGAAAGAGGTGTATAATAATTTTGCATCATTATATATTTTTCCCTGCACCTCCGATTAGCACTGTTGGCTACACAGGGTGCAAAATAATTTTTACATACATAAGTAATAATTATAATTACTTATTTATCCACAAAAGCTACATTGAGCCATATGACACTCTTTCAGAAGGATTTTAATTTTATTATTTTCAGCCAATTAATGAGTTGTTGACATGTGGGAGGAAACCGGAGGACCCGGAGAAAACCCATGCACACGAGGGGGAAAATAACACTATCCACGTACAGATGGAGACTAATGCTAATTAGTCCACTTGCCATGCCGCCTCCTCCTGGCGAGCCAGGGTAAGGCACCTGGATGCCCACGGGAAAGGAGTTTGACAACGTTCATGCGATCAACCAACCCTCACCTCCACAGTGCTGGATTAGAGGCGTGTGCCACCACCGCCCGGCGGTGATGGTCAGATTAGGATGAGAGCACAGCATACAAAGGTTAAGCAGGAGGCGGTGGCAATGATTGAATACACGTTCCACAGCAACCAGCTTGGAGAGCATCAGAGCACCTGCTTCTCCTGCGAGAGACACTTGGCAACGTCCTCCTTCTCCCGTTTGAGGTTTTCAGCCTCCACTTCCATGTCCCTCAGCTGCAACTCCACTTTTCTGATGGCCTGGAGGATAATGCAGTGGCCATAATACAATAGAATACTTGCATTTCAATAGCATCTACGTGCACTCAAGAGCCTCCCGACACTTACGTGTTTGTGCGACTCCACCTCTTCCTCTCTGGCTGCGAGTGCTTCTTCCAGCCTCTGCATTTCCTTCTGTATGAGAGACTGGACACCCACACAACGGCACGCACACGCAACAATCACATTGAATGTTCTGCCAATGTAAAATCTCACTGACATACTGTATCTACACTTATTGCACTTGTAAAGGCACAGCCCTATTGTCAATCCACTGCTGGATGAGGGCCTCCCTGTGCCGTGCAGGTCGTGGGGGTTATTTTGCCATACTTTACCATGCCGGTCAGTGTCGATAGATGAAGGGAGGACCATAGAAAAAAAATGCATACAAGTGCCGTAAAACAATTGATTGTACTACTGTGCATGGTGGTTACTTGTCCAAGCACTCTCCAGGCACAAATCTGCTCAGCTTCCGAGATCTGACAAGATCAGGTACATTCCAGGTGACTTGCTCCAGCACCACAGATGATTGTGAGAAGGATGTTAAGAGACACATTGTGTTAGCAGGAGAGATTTTTGATATGCGTGAACCCATTTACAAAAACAAGCCAACTGCAGTGTGACGAGACAGGTGTTTTATTCAGGAGAAATGTCCTGATTGTTGTATTATCCACTGTTGGATGAATACCGCACCAAGCCTTCACCATCTCTTACAGTATCGCAATGCAACAATCCAACGGGCATCTGCACATTCGGTGATTTCATTGCGTACACGTATTTAAAGTGACAACCTGACCACTAAAACTGGAAGCAGACCTCACATGTCAGAGAAGCCCACCGGAGTGAGGGTGTGTGAGGCACCTTGCCAGATGTGGAAGCCAGTGGCTGCTGCTGTTGCTCCCTCTCACGGAGCTCCCTCTGCGTGCTCAGCAGATCGGCGTGCAGCCTCCTCAGCTCCTCTTCACGCTGCGACGCCTCGCGCTGCAGGCTCGTCACGAGCCCTTGTCACGTGCAGCACGCGTATTCCAACAATTCCAGACACTCCACAACCGCGCCTTCATCATATCTTGGCTCAGCTATTGCAACCCTCTGCTTTACGGCCTCCCCATAATCCCTCCATCTCTCAAACTCCAGATGATCCAAAATGCTGCTGCCAGATTTTGCAACCGTAAATGAGACCACATCGCACCTCTTCTCCATTCCATCCAATAGTTCCTAATCTAGTCCTGGATGAAATTCAAGATCACAGTCACCGTCTTCAAGATACTCCATGGACTTGCCTCTGTTTACCTCTCCCCTCTCATCTCACCCTACTGCCCTCGTGTACAAATGCAGCATCGCCTTAACAGACTGTTGGAGCAAGTGCTGTTAGTAAGCACCTTTCAAGGCCGGCCAACACCACGCCCGGCCGCCTTTGTCTCTCCAGTGATGGTGTTTACACATCGCACCCATTTTTGAGGCTGAGTCGACTTAGGGGATGCCTAGGACTGGTTCAAATATTCACCACTGTTATTGGTCAGGAGCATAAATCGAACTCGGGTCGCCAGGTTCATAGCACAGTGTGCTCACCACGACACTACCATTCCCAAAAAACAACAACCGTCATTCGCCACTCAGTGGTCGGTGACATCGCCACGGTGCTTGTGCCAGACTAGGTGCACTTTGAGGTCACGTGCAGTGCCAAAGGCTCCCTGGCAGAATTTCACGGGGCAGACTCAGGTGCAATTGGTTGACTGACTGATTTGACTGGCAGATGCACCACCTGTGCCCTCTATGGTGCCAACTTGCTGTGGTTTAGTCGCTCGGCGCTCCGCTCATTGTTGTGAGTGTCACTCCTCTGCCCACCGCTGTTGTTGGAGGGCGACTACCTCCCAACTGCCCAGTAGCGTCCTGCCACTCCCCACACCCCCCCCCCCCCGCACCTTTGGCCAGTGCCAGGTCTCTGCAAGCCTTGTCCAGCTCAATCTTCAGATGAGCAATGTCCACATCGCGTTCTCTCGCCGTGTGATTCAGCACCTCGCTAGAGCCCACCTCAAGCCTGTTCAGCTGCAACATCACCGTTGGTGTAGGTTCAAACGTGTATCGACAAAGGAAAAACACATCAATATATAGTGGCCCCTCGGTTAATGATATTAATTGGTTCCATGAAAACCATCCTTAATTGAAATGATCATTAATCGAATATAGGAAATACATGTTCAAGACTTAATTTGTTCAAAGACGATCGGAAGTTGACCTTTTTCATCCTAAAAACATAGTTTATAATATTAAACGACGCAATTTTAATTAAAAAAAACGTTATAAGAACATATTAAAGCATTAACGTAATTAGAAGCACGGGTTAATAATGAATAAAAAGAGCATAAAAAGGTGCATAAATAGAGCATAAAATAAAAATTCTTACATTAGGCTTTCTCCACATTCATTTTAGGGGCCATTGCTATTCATCTTATTTAACTTTTAAGTAAAAAATACACTAAGTATTCAAGAAAGCTGTTTCCATAAGCAACGCACATCAAACATTAAAAAACCTGGAAGCCAGTTGCTCTTAACTATTTTTTATTTCGCTCCGATTTGCCGAAATTGGCAGGAACCGCGTGATATCGTAAACATTGTAATGTATCGTTAATAGAAACAATGGTGGGACCCTATAGGAGGCGGATCGCTAATCGAAAAATTGTTAATCGATGGCATCGTAAACCGAGGGACCACTGTACAACATAGACACCTATCCTTAACTTACCCAGAATCCACCCGATCTCGTCAGATCTCAGGTTAGCAGAGTTGATCGTGAATAGTACTTGGATGGCCAAACACAATGCACAACAGATTTTTATAGGCTGCTGCAAGGCTGCGTGGTGGGCAGCAGATGACAGTACAGTGAAACCTTGGTCTGCGAGTGTTTTGCAAGACGAGCAAAAAATTCAAATAAATAATTTGATAAACGAGCGATGTCTTGCAATACGAGCAGTACGTACACAGTATACGCTTTGTCTGCCGAGCGTCACGTGATCACAACTGAGCCAATGGTTCTTCTCTCTCTCTGCGGGATTGTGGGTAATCGTCTCCCATGCTCGGTCTCAGTCGGCGTGCCTCACTCGTATAGTCAACATCCGTGCGGTGTATACTGTTTACTACAGTATAGTGTTGTAACCACGTGTGTGCGTACAGCATTTTTTTATTTTGTGTCCAAGTGTAGTGACTGTTCTTTAGTAACTGTACTGCAAGTGAAAGTCGTCCTACACAATAACCCTCCTCTCCTCTCTCGTATCCCTCACGCCAGCCACGATTAAATATAATTGTGATTACTTTATATTAAATTTAAATAATAAAAATATAAAAAGGTATTTTGTATTAATAACTTTTATATGAATACAGTATTTTTGGGTTGTGGAACGAATCATCTGAGCTTCCATTATTTCTTATGGGGAAATCGCTTTGATATACGAGTGCTTTGGATTACGAGCACGTTTCCGGAACGAATTATGCTCGCAATCCAAGGTTTCACTGTACAGCAAACTCCATTGTTGTAATGTATGCTCCAACGTCTATGCTCCCTACCTTCACCAACTCACACTCATCAGCGTGGTGAATTATGGTGAATTAACTGCAAGACCCGCACAAGGGCTGTACACATGAACATCCCAAAGTAAATCATTATCAATACAGTACATACACATGTGCCTAACGATATGTTTACTATCTTCTCAATGTTCTCACATTATGACCCTCCGGTCACTCTGCTAGATCCAAGCAGTTCTACAGATTGTTGCCCTATTGCGATGTTTACATTTCAAGGTTTTCCAGAGATCGGATGAGATTGGGCGCATTCGGAGTGATTCGGTCACGGGCTTTGTGGTCATGCTTGGGGTTACCCGCGCACACACACTGCAGCCATTCACACGTTATGGGGCTTGCACTCTTTTGGTGCTCAATAATACGGTAACAGGATCAATTTGATCCCAACTATAACACCTGCTGTATATTTGGAGTTTGCATGTTCTCCCCGTGGTCGCGTGGATTTTTCTCCAGGTCCTCCGGGTTTTTCTCTCCACGTTTAGACTCAACGTGCAAGTATTTGGCCGTCTTAAATTTAACTTTGTTGAGCTATCATTTGTGGCAAGGTCACTTCTGAAAAAGAGCTAAATAGCTCAGTAGGCCTGACCTGGTAAAATAAAAAAGTTAGTACGTTAGTTAACATGCCATAGCGATATGTATCTCTTGTTCCATATGTATCATCACTGGAGATGTATCCGAGTTACCTGCTCCCGCAGGACCCTGACCTCCTGCGTCCTGTTGTGGAGCTCCCTCTCCAGGGCTGGTCGCGTGCCATCCCTTTCAGCTGCCCACAACTCTTGCTGTGTCAGCTGCTGCCTCAGTGCCCCCGTCTCATCCCTCAGGGTCGAGATGACCAAATCTTTACGCTTCGACTCAGCCTCAAACACAAGCAGGCGCTTCACCTCATCTCCCAGCTTCAGCAGCTGCTGCTCCTGCAGGGTGGCACATCCAGGACCCTGTTAGGCTACTAAGCAGGTATGCCAGCCATCTCATGAGTACATGTGACATTGCAATTTGGTGTTATGGCATGTCTATACATACGTAAATATACGAAATACATTATCTCGAGATGATGTGTGGATACATAAGTGGTCATGTATGTTGTTGAACTTCTTTCGCACCGTATGTAGCCAGCCATGATAATCGGAGGTGTGGGTGGAGTACAATAAACTAAATATAAAAAGCAGTTTTAAAGAAATTAGTTTTCAATCTAGCATGAACATGTACAGCCCCTGTTAATCTGCTGCAGGATCAGCGCCGTGCCACACCATGTGCGTCTTAGAGATTATCTGATGTGGGTTCATAGAAGTAGAGTACAAGAATGCGATTTTTAAAAAAAGTTTATTTCATCTAAAGTGTTGACAGTGTTTAATGTGTTTATATGGGAACGCTTACTACAGCAGCTTTAACGTGTGGCTCCTCACTTTCCCCTGGCTGAGCCTGCTCACTCTCAGAACTAGAGAACTAGAGAACCTCGTCGTGGGTGGCGGAAGGAGGTTGGGGGGCGGCCACTGCCTTGTGGCCACGTGGCTATGTCACATCAACTGCAACTGTCAAGACTCAGAGATAGGAAGGGAACTCACTTGGGGGCTTTTGCCAAGAGGGACCTAAGGGGTTGTGGTGCCAGAGGGTAGATGCATCCACGCGCTGTCTTGGTACATCCTCCCGCACTTGACTCGATTTGTTTACATTTGTAGTGGGTACAAATGGAGAGAGAGACTTCTCTGGAGGCAACACGTTTATTATAACAATAACAAAAGCCCTAACACAAAGGGGTATCTGCCCCTTCCACCAGGTAACCTATGGAGGTAGTCCCTCCGGGCTGACGAGGCCCTAACACAACTGGTGAGGCTATCAGAGACCGGAACCCAACTCGGGGCTTCTCTTCAGGGTGATGGCATCAGGTCTTCAGGTGTACAACAGCAGCCGGACCCATTCAGGGGTCCGGCTGCTGTTGTCAGTCCCCGGGGCTTACTCTGCCCCTTGCCACGCCTCCCTTCTCGAGCCTTCGAGAGGGACCTGGTCCTGGTCCCGTGGTCCCCCAGCCCCCTCTTTTGGGACCCCTTGGCCGGTACCTCCGGTCACCAAGCCTCCGGGTTCACACGGAGTGCCATGGCCCCCTGTGAACCCCTGCACCGTCCCTGGCACTCTCGCCCCCTAACCTCCAGAGGCTGACACTGCACGTGAAGTGCAGTGCCATCCATCGTCGATTGGCGATCCCAGCCGGCCCCCCACTAGGGCCATTACTGCCTTCCTACTGCAGTGCTGTAGATGGTGTGAGCGGCGTTTGTCGTGATTCACACAGGCCGGCTTCACACGACATGCAGTGACATCCACTGATGCCACTACACATTTTTTCAAGTTTTTTTTGGACTCTGTGGCCACTGATATGGTGGATTGAAAACATACATAGTGTATGCTGGGTGTGGTTCATAATATGAATCAAAATCCAATGCGTCTATACACTGCGTTTGTAAACCAAACTTATACTTAATGAAACAATGTAAAAAATGGCCCCAACCTTCTGTTGCAACAGTGCCTCCGAGCTGAACTGGATGGCGACAGGATCGCCGTTTACCCGGCTGTACCCGTCACAGTGGCTCCAGTCGTCTGCAAATGTAGTTGTAGGAACACAGCTCTAAGTCTCAAGTATACGCAGCAATGCACTCCGACTGCAGCTACAGCCAGCATCTTAATGCTTGCTCAATTAACTTTCCCTTTTTCTAAAACTAAAATAAAAGAACGTTATCGGTTCGTCTTCAGGTCGGAAGACATACTAAGGCTCCCACAATGCCGTGCGGGATGGCGTGTGGCACAGTTTGGCATCAGCCATCATAGAGTGCGATCGTGTCGCGAAAGTTCTCTGCGGTGAGTACAATATCTTTAAAAACATTGGCGCTACGCTACCCTACAACTTGCAGACGTTTTGGAATGGGAAAGGGTTAACATGACATTATTACAAGAACATAGATCTACTTTCAAATGCTCCCAATGTACCAACTTACAACCTTTACCCATTCCTGTATGAGTCAAACAATGAGACGATTGTTAAGACAGTGTTTGGGTCAGACAGTGTCTCCGTGCTTCGTTGTACACATCAGAACAGGACCTAATATATACGCTTAATTAAGTAAAACCCAGTGTAGCAGGCAAAATCGACCATGCCAATTCCATGGAACTTGTCTGCACAGGAAAACGACTGAATGTTAATGTAGAGGAAAACACACAGCTGATGAACCAAAGGAAATTCGGACCCTTACGAACCCAGGCCTAGCCTCAGCCTTGTCCTGTCTGCTTCTGCAGTGGAAAGGTGAGTTTTAAAAAATGTCTTCACAGAAACATTTTGATGTGCAGTTGTTTGAAAACGTTGAAACTTTTCATTTCTCCACCAAAACGTTACGAATCGTGGCTTTCTGCCAACATACCAATGAGGTGCCAGACCTGACTCTTTTATCATTCATCCTCCTGGCAGCCGTGCCTCCATGTGACTCACCCTCTGGCGCAGCAGCCGTCGGGCTGTGTATGGAGGAGCTTAGCCTCCGGCTGCCTGCGCTGTGGGGTCGAGGCTTCTGTGGTGGGTGAGGAATTCCTGATCCACGATTCCACTGAGACCAGGGGTTGCTTCTGGTGTCGGCACTATCTGAAAATAATCCGTGTTTACAAACCACAGAGATATTTAAACCGTTTCAAGCACTCTCTGTCAAGATGACAGACTTAGACAAAAAAGTGCATGCAAGGTTGGAACAAATGTAATAATTATACATGCAAAAAGTGATCTATAGACAGCAAAAGGAGCAACTGTAACTGTAGCATCAGTTTTCCCATCATGCCTCGCATGCCATGTGAGATCATCATACTGAACATATAATGCACAAAGCCTTGTTTGAGAGTACCAACTGAAAAGAGTGCATTTAAAACATAGCTGTCTGTATCCTACACGCAGTATGGTGATATCACGTGACATGCAAGGCATAATGGCAGCACCAATATCCTAAGGCTGTAATCGTGCTTTTTGCGTTTTAGAAAATACCTATTGTGCATACTATTACTCTTACACACTGCTCTGCTCCTGCCCAATTCCATCAATACAATTGTCATGAAGATAGTAAGTGCAAGCAGCTAATCTCCTGTAAATGTTACGTTTTTGAGATTTTCCAATGTACATCTGGTAACAATTTATTTTTCAGTATTCCACAGGCCAGCAATGAGCATAGTAAAGGCGTGACTGAATACTCTGCCTAGAAGGTGGTGGTGCGTGTGCGATGCTAGAGACGCTGGTAGTAGGTGCGTACTAGCTGCAGGACTGCCGAGTACTGGTAGAGGAGGGTGAGTCACAGGACTACTTGTAGCCTCCTGCAGCACAGTAATGGGCCCAGACCAGGCTTGCTTGTGGCCCACTGGAGGGCAACACACCTGCACACGTGCGGCATTACTCATCACTACACCTTGCAACAGTGAGCTCTGCACATCACACATTCTTCACTTACAAGAATCCACCTGGCACATTAGTCATCCACTTGTGAGAATAAATAAACATACACACAACACGTCACTCAGTATTCCATCAGTTACTAGAATATACGTTGTGAAGAGTTCTTATTTGTTCTATCATTAGTCATTCTCATTAAATTATATCCTCCACACCCAATGAGGTGTGTTGCATCTCACATATAAAGCACCCTGCCATGTACTTGGTGAGACTCAGAGACGACTGGCAGACAGGCAAAGTAAACATTTCCATCCTCTCTAACGGAGCCATTCAACATTTGACATCTGAAGGGCACAGCCTCCATAACGTGACCATCTCTGGTCTCTTGTCCAACTTTACTAATTCCTTCTCCCTTCCTTAATTTAAGACTTGACTTTAGCCACCTGCATGTAGAATGATTTTAAAACACTAACCACTCAGATTTAATGTAGATTTTGTAATCGTGTCACGGAAAGGGATTGTGTTGGTTGTGTGAGTCTTGCACGTAAAGCGTACATGTATGGCTTAAGGACACCTATCTAAGGAAATGCACATATATAGCCCTTGGTTGATCCACTGCTGGAATAGCACCTCTCTACACCGTGCAGGTCATGGGGCTATATGACTATACTTCACCATACTGGTAAGATTATGTTGGTGAAGGTGGGCAGCATGTACTTCATAGCACAGAACAGTACAATGGATTTTGCCGCAATGCCCACTCCGTAAGCCCCCACATCCTTTGATTATCACGGTTGGCTATGTACGGTGCAGAAGAAGTTCAACATACATACATCCTATAATAGCTGTTATGTATCGTGGTCACCCATCTGAGTAATATCTTGGTTCAATCATGCTTCGCTTCTGAGACATGACAATATCGTGAGCATTGGTCATAGGCGCGGACATTTTTCAATTGCGTACGCTATGTTCCTGTATGCATTGCATAATTCTGTAGAACACAGCGTGCTTCGCCGCTATTTGTCACGCATACCTGTGACACGTCGGTGGTGCCTTGCGCTCAGAGTTTGTTATCCGTATGCGTGGCTCGGTCTGCTACGAGCACGTGAATGTGAGCGGTACCTGTGGCTCTGCAGGGACCTCCAGGGAGTAGGAGTGAGGGGAGCCCCCGAAGCGGATGGTGTCTCCGGGAGCCAGGCGCACAGTGGCGTTCTGCACACGGCAGCCGTTCACATACGTCCCGTTGGCGGAGTTGAGGTCTTGCAGAACATAGCAGCCGTCTGCCGCGCTGAACCTCAGCAGAGCGTGGCGACCCTCTGTGTCGCCGCAGCCCTGCGCCACAAAAGACAGACGCCGCCCACCCCACTCGCCGCATCGGACAGGCATCGTGGCTTCTTCACTCCACCAGCCGCTTGTTAAGCTGCCCCCTGCTGTTTGAAACGATTTTGTCTGGCCACAGCCATCCACACAAATCTAGCTGGTCCCCAACAAACTGTCCAGCTACGACTAAGAGGTTCATTCGTCCACACGTGCTCAGTGACAGAGATAACCCAATAAAGCTGGGCAAGACATGTTCGTGGTGGCAGAGCATTGGAGTTAGCACTGGTGGCCCGCTGATAGATCATATTTTTGCAAAGTTGCTTGCGCAGCTCTTTCCCCCACCCACTTTGGAGGCTTGCCTCCTCTTTTCTCTCCGCCTGATGAAGACCGCTTGTGTTGCGATCAAAACGTCGTGGGTTTTTTGCTTTTATTACTTAAAATGTATTATTTTCTCTTTTTTATCTTATTGTTATTTTATTTTCATTTTTTGATTTTTTGTTTTCTATTTACGTGACTTTACCGAAAGAACCAAGAATATGAATTCCTGCAGTCACGAAAGTTTTAAGTCTAAAAGTTTTAATAAACGACTTTTATTGTACTAAACTACTTTTATTTTACCAGGTGAGGCCCATTGAGCTCTATATCTATTTTTCAGAAGCGACCTGGCTGCATATGATAGCTCAATTAAGTGGCTGATCATGTGTAAATGTATAGCAGCCAAATACTCTAAAGGCATTTTCTAAACGTGGAGGGAAACAACCATAGGGATAGAGACATGCAAACTCCAAATATACATGCGGTAGGGTCGGAATCGCACCCACGACCTCCTGAATACTGGGTGAGGAAGTTAACATCTCGGAATGTTATAACAGCTTGGGGATAAAAGACAATGGGAAGAAATTCCAAATTTGGAAAAACTAAAGAAAACTTTTGACCTGGAGCATGGTGGTTAAACACAATGTGGATGAGATGAATGAGCCAGGTGGACCAAGTCCTCAACATGGCTGCAGGGATCAATACGTGATGAATACTTGGGTAAATTAGTTTGAAACGGAGCCTAGTATTCGTGTACGGAGCTCGGGTATGTACCTGTATGTGAAGCTGGCAGTCAGCACCACTGCCCACTCTGATGGGCTTCTGCGAGAGAGGCAGCATCCCATTTGCTCCCTTCAGATACGCCTTCATCTCTCCCCGAGCTTGACACAACAACAACAACACACCAACACAGATGTGCACTCAACTCATTCTCAAGCAGCGGGGGAACCGAAATAAGTTTCTGAACTGAAATTTGGTGGCGCCACCCACCCGCCGATGTCACCTACTCCTGTAGGTAGAGTGGCACAGGGGTAACACTTGCGCCTGGCAGCAATAAATTCTGGGTTCGATCTTCACCCGGGTGCCTTTCTGTATAAAGTTTGTATTTTCTCAATCTTTATTTGAAGCTTTCGTGACTGCCGGAATCCGTACTCTCTGGTTATTTCGGTAAAGTCACGTAGGTAGAAAAAAATATTTAAAAATAACACGACGTTTCGGTTGCAACACAAGCGTCCGTCATCAGGTGCGAAATAAATATCTGCTGTTGTGGCTTTGTATTTTCTCCCCATGCTCTGCACGGGTTTTCTTTCGGGTGCTCCGGTTTCTTCCCAAAACTAAACAACCCGCAATAATACCACGCAATTGGCATTGGCCAAACCTCTTAATGTTTGAAAATCACCCGCAAATTACTTCGTTGGGATTCCACACGGCAACATCGCCCCACCCGCCCTCCTGCGAAAGCTCGACAGGACCCGCCTCTGAATAAAAGAGTCTTGTGACTCGGTGAGGCTTTCGTGGCTACGCCAGCGGAACGATCTCGTGGGACGGAACGCCACCCACGGACTCAACAAACCCCTCTCTCTGTGCTCCCAAGTCTCAGCGAGTTCTTGCGCAGCAGTAAAATTCGTCAAACGCTGCACCGCACGCCGCTGTGTTATGCTCCGTTGTGTTGTCGTGTAGCTCCACCTTGGTTGCCCTGTGTAGTGTAACACTGCGTTGTGTGTCACCTGCGGTTCCGCACGCACCGCTGATCTCCCTTGTAAAAAACATATCCGGGCAACTATCGAAACAGGATTATCCGTGTAACAAATACAAACAAACTTAAACACTGGCCGTCTGTCGCTGTGATATGTCGCTGCGTGGTTGTGTTGCTATGCTGTTATGTCAAATTGTGTTGTGTCGTTGTGGTGTCACACTGTGTTGTGACAATGTTGTGTCGTGGTGTCACTGTGTTGTGTCACAATATGTTGTGTCGCTGTGGTGTCACTCTGTGCTGTATCACACTGTGTTGTGTCACACTGTGTTGTGTCGCTGTGGTGTCACTGTGTTGTGTCACAATATGTTGTGTCGCTGTGGTGTCACTCTGTGCTGTATCACACTGTGTTGTGTCACACTGTGTTGTGTCGCTGTGGTGTCACTGTGTTGTGTCACAATATGTTGTGGCGCTGTGGTGTCACACTCTGTTGTATCACACTGCGTTGTTGTGTTGTCACACTGTGTTGTGTCACACTGTGTCACTGTGTTGTCACACTGTGTTGTGTCACACTGTGTTGTGGTGTCACACTGTGTTGTGTCACACTGTGTCACTGTGTTGTCACACTGTGTTGTGTCACACAGTGTCACTGTGGTGTCACACTGTGTTGTTGTGTTGTCACACTATGTTGTGTCACACTGTGTCACTGTGGTGTCACACTGTGTTGTGTCACACAGTGTCACTGTAGTGTCACACTGTGTTGTTGTTGTCGCTGTGGTGTCACACTGTGTTGTTGTGTTG